TTTAGAAGGGTTGTGCCAACATCCCCGCATATAACCCAAGTGTGCAATACAATGGTTGTTCTCACATACCATATCATAGCGTATGTCATTGGCGATAACGATGTACAGCAAATCCTTCCTGGACCCGATAAACCGCCTGTCACCTAAACTGTAAAAAGTGTAACTTCAACCGCATTTCGACCAGTTAGAAAATAAAATGCTGTTCACTGGGTAGGCTGTCATCTGTACGTAGAGCTGCTTTGGATATATAATGGCGCACTGGATCAGAGATTAGCATCGGGGGGGGGGGGAATTGTGCCGACTTGAAAAGTGAAACTTTCACGGGAGTAGCGACATGGTTTGGGGCGGGAGACGCTGGTACCACAGAATCTAGAATTCAGATTTTGTGTGATTATTGTCAAATTTGTGTAAGTTTGGTGGACCAGATCGAGCCGGTTTTCAGTGGTTTGGGTTGAACTTAGAGACAAAGGAAGATAAATTCCGAGATAAATTTCCTTGCCTGATTTTTCAAAAAAAATCTGGCGCCAGATATTAGAGGCTGTCATTCGCCGATCCTCTCCCTCAAGCACAAATACAGCGACGAACCGCAGATCGCCATGGTAGGTCCTTCGCGATATTCGAATGCAGGTGTGAGTGCCACAACGGAGCTGGAACCCAGCGCAAGGAAGCGGAAACCTCAAGTCCTATTCTCCCACCGCTTCCGGTCTACAATCAATCACTTTCGGATGCTCATAATGCGGAAAAGGTTGCCGGTGCTCGCGTGGACACAGAGGAAACGAAACCGGCAATTCAAGGACGGCAGAAGCGCACTCGATACGCAACCGCCATGCTGAGAGATGGGGAGGAAGATGTCCCAAGAGGCAGCGACCAGGGAGACCAGGGAGAGCAGGCAAAACGGGAAAGAGCCGGCCTTCGAGAAATGTTTGGCATTGACACAGATTCAGATCCGGAAGACGACCCTGAACAGGACGAGCGTTCTAGCCAGGAAGACGAGGAACGCTGACGAGGAGGAGAGTACTTATGAGGACGAAGAAGAAGCTGAAGATGAAGACAGTACCAGTGAGAGTGGAGATGGAGATTCTAAAGACGGCGGAGTTGCTGCTGCGAGTGATGATGGGAGTGCGAGTGATTCCGACAACAGCGATGATGACAGCGAAGGCTCTGAAGCACCAGCAGAAATCTCACCGAATTCACACCGAATATCACCGAATATAACCGAATCCACACCCAAAGTCCGACCTCCGGGTGAAGAGCGCAGTGCCTGCCTGGTTCTACGGATTCGAGAGCTCCTTCGACTCCTGGGATAGGTTCCACGCGGCATTCGACATTTATCGGTTGGAAACGTTTAAACGGTTCACAAAGCGCACAAGCACGTTTGTTGCGGCTTGAAACAAACAAATCGTTGCCAGTTCGAAAGCCAGGAAGGTTGCAGGAAAAAAGACAAGGAAGGCAGTAACGTTGGTACCGGACGAGTGGGTGACTTATTCAAATACACTGGTGTGCACACACGGTCAGCCTTACGAGCCGAAAGGCAAAGGCAAGCGCAACCACAACAACGTCCGCGACACCAACTGCCCGACAAGAGTGAACCTGACAGTGATTGCCTCTATCAGTGGCAGGTGGTACTTGCGTGCAAACGCCTCTGGAAGCCATAATCACGCGGTGAGCAAGCACACTTACGAAGGTTACGCTGAGAACAGGACAGTGAAGGATTCTCAGCTAAAGAGTGACATTGCAGTGCTGCGCAAGGCTGGGGCTACAGCAAAAGGCATACTGCAGTACCTCCGGGAGAGAACAGGTGAGCTTGTTTGGTGTGGATTTGGTATGAGGTATTCAGTCTAAATTTTGTGTGTTTTAGGTATGAATTCCGTGTGATTTTGGCAGGCAAGAAGACGAACTTAAAGGATGTTCACAACATGGTGGAGAGGCACAACGCTTCAGTCCAAGCTGGGCTTACGGATGCTAAGCGTGCATTTGCTGTTCTCGAGGATTTTACCAGACAGAGGAACGGTAACGCTGCTCAGGTGCTCGTGGACAGTGAGACGAATATTGCACGGATTGCTACGTTCCAGACGGCAAGGATGAAACGTTTGTTCAAGGCTTTCCCTGAGATTGTTCTCGTAGACTCCACACACAATACAAGCGCGAAATTGTAAAAGTTTTTTAGCTTCATGGTTCACGACGTATTCGGGAAGGTATCTGTGTAGCATACGTATAAGTTGTATGGTTAAGCCTTAACCGACTTTCAATGTAGGGACAATATGTCCATCATGCTCTTGTAGATAGCGAGGAGAAGGACAACTTGAAGCGTGTGGTAGAAATCTTCAAGGAAAATAATTCTGAGTGGGGCAAGATTCTACTTTTCATGTCGGACAAGGCTATACACGAGAAAGATGTGCTGCGGGACGATTTTCCTGATGCACGCCAGCTACTGTGCCAATGGCATGCGCTTACGTGGCTGAATAAGCTGGCTACGCGCTTGGCGCCTGGAGTGAAGGAGGACGCCAAGAGTCTCATGCGTGATCTCGTGTACGCAAAAAGTAGTGCGGCTTACGAGGAATCGAAAGCCACTCTTCTTCGGCTGCTTGGAGATAACAGCTCGCACAAACTGTACAAAACTTTCGTGGACAACTGGGATCAGTCCAAGGATGAATGGGTAACCTACAAGCGCGGTGACGTTCCACACCTCACGAACAATACGAACAACCGTATCGAGTCGCAATGGGGGAAAATTAATAACGTTGTCGAGGACTCTTACTCCATTGACCAGCTTCTTTCAATGTTGATAGCTTTGCAAGTATATGCGGAGGAGCAGTATCTGGCTGAGTACCACCGTGTCGGCAGTCGCCCGACCAGGGAGAGTGAAGATGAAGAACTGACAAAGCTGGCTATTCATATTAGCCCGTTCGCGCATGAGTTACTATCGAAGGAACATTATCATGCTACCGGCACCCGAGCGGACTACACTGTTCAGCTTGACGATGGAGGCATGGCGACGGTGACGAGTGCAGTGTCAAGTGACACCCACGAGGTGAATACGCGGGTAAGTTTTGGATTTTGTGTAGTTTCGGTGCTTTTTGTAAAAAAATTCGGTATTCAAGCTAATGTTGGTTTTGGTGTTGAAGACAAGCTCCTGCAACAGTATCTTCACGAAGACCTGCCTGTTGCCCTGCCGACATGTGATGTTTGTGAGAAGTACGTGCAACTTCGAAACCTGTGTTCCTCCCATGAGGTATTTTGCAACAAGATGGATCCGTCATAGCCCTGAAAATAATATTGACGAGGGAGACGTATCAACGGGAGGGCTAAAGCAAAAGGTTTTGCCTTCGGTGCCTAAAGGCCGCGCGCTTTCGAGTAGTAACAAGTACATCGAAGCCAAGGCCATCACAGAGAAGATCGTGGACCGATTGGCTCTTCAATCTACACCAACATTTCGCGTAGCCCTCACGTGGCTCGAGAACTTTTTCGAGGCACTAAACGCTGGTGAAGTGGTGGACTTTAGTGAGCGTGGTAATCCTGTGTTT